TTTTATTTTTATGCTGAGGGTTTTTATTTTTATGCTGAGGGTTTTTATTTTTATGCTGAGGGTTTTTATTTTTATGCTAACGAATGTAATTATCGCGGGGCTTTATTGGAAAATGTAATGTCGCGGGGCTTTAGTGGAGAATGTAATTGTCGCGGGGCTTAGTGAAGAATGTAATTGTCGCGGGGCTTTATTGGAAGGGCGGCGGCTCATCTGCGCACACACATTTTGTTAGCACTTGCGCCTCATCTGCGCACACTGATTTGACTCATGCGCGCACACAGTCCATCGGGCAGACTCAAGTGCGCACACAGGCCCTTTCCCGCATGTTTGCTCACTTACAAGGGTCGTCAAGATGGAATGGCCACTTCCTCCTCTAAATTTTACCCCTCCAGTGGCTCACCAAAGGGTGAGTCAACTTGGAATGACCACTTCCTTCTCTAAATTTTACCCCTGCCTTGCCCACAAAAGGGTGAGTCAAGTTGAAATGGTAATATCCTTCTCCAAATTTTACCCTCAGGTGGCTCACCAAAGGGTGAGTCAACTTGGAATGACCACTTCCTTCTCTAAATTTTACCCCTGCCTTGCCCACAAAAGGGTGAGTCAAGTTAAAATGGCAACATCTTTCTCTAAATTTTACCCTCGGGTGGCTCACCAAAGGGTGAGTCAACTTGGAAGAGCAACATCCTTCTCTAAATTTTACCCCTGCATGGCTCACAAAAGGGTGAGTCAAGTTGAAATGGCAACATCCTTCTCTAAATTTTCCCCCTGCATGGCCCACAAAAGGGTGAGTCAACTTGGCATGGCCACTTTCCTCTCTAAACTTTACCTCTGCATGGCCCACAAAAGGGTAAGTCAAGTCGGAGTGACCACTTCCTTCTCTAAACTTTACCCTGCCCACAAAAGGGTGAGTCAAGTTGAAATGGCAACATCCTTCTCTAAATTTTACCCACCCGAGGGTCACCAAAGGGCTCTCAAAATTCTACCCTGCCCACAAAAGGGTGAGTCAAGTTGAAATGGCAACATCCTTCTCTAAATTTTACCCTCGGGTGGCTCACCAAAGGGTAAGTCAAGTTGGAAGGGCAACATCCTTCTCTAAATTTTACCCTGCCCACAAAAGGGTGAGTCAAGTTGAAATGGCAACATCCTTCTCTAAATTTTACCCTCGGGTGGCTCACCAAAGGGTGAGTCAACTTGGAAGGGCAACATCCTTCTCTAAATTTTACCCCTGCATGGGTCCACAAAAGGGTGAGTCAAGTTGGCATGGCCGCTTCCCTCTCTAAACTTTACCCCTGCATGGCCTACAAAAGGGTGAGTCAAGTTGGAGTGACCACTTCCTTCTCTAAATTTTACCCTGCCCACAAAAGGGCGAGTCAAGTTGAAATGGCAACATCCTTCTCTAAATTGTACCCTCGGGTGGCTCACCAAAGGGTGAGTCAACTTGGAAGAGCAACATCCTTCTCTAAATCTTACCCCTGCCCACAAAAGGGTGAGTCAAGTTGAAATGGCAACATCCTTCTCTTAATTTTACCCCTGCATGGCCCACAAAAGGGTGAGTCAAGTCGAATTGGCAACATCCTTCTCTAAATTTTACCCCTCCAGTGGCTCACCAAAGGGTGAGTCAACTTGGAATGACCACTTCCTTCTCTAAATTTTACCCCTGCCTTGCCCACAAAAGGGTGAGTCAAGTTGAAATGGCAACATCCTTCTCTAAATTTTACCCTCGGGTGGCTCACCAAAGGGTGGGTCAACTTGGAAGAGCAACATCCCTCTCTAAATTTTACCCCTGCATGGCTCACAAAAGGGTGAGTCAAGTTGAAATGGCAACATCCTTCTCTAAATTTTACCCTCGGGTCGCTCACCAAAGGGTGAGTCAACTTGGAATGACCACTCCCTTCTCTAAATTTTACCCCTGCCCACAAAAGGGTGAGTCAAGTTGACATGGCAACATCCTTCTCTAAATTTTACCCTCGGGTGAGTCAACTTGGAATGACCACTTCCTTCTCTAAATTTTACCCCTGCCTTGCCCACAAAAGGGTGAGTCAAGTTGAAATGGCAACATCCTTCTCTAAATTTTACCCTCGGGTGGCTCACCAAAGGGTGAGTCAACTTGGAAGAGCAACATCCTTCTCTAAATTTTACCCCTGCCAACAAGAGGGTGAGTCAAGTTGAAATGGCAACATCCTTCTCTAAATTTTACCC